ACAGCAACCAGTTTGGTTTTTTTGTTTTGATTTAAAATGAGACCCAAGCTGGGTACCTGGAAAACAGTGGTGAGACACTCCCTGCCCGGGTGTTGCTCACAGTCCAAGGGAGATGGTCTGCCAAGTCAGCCTTCCCCAGCCGGCAGGTCAAAATGCAGGCTGTGGCTTAGGGAGCCCCGAGGAGGCCCCCGGCCCTGATGGGAGGGGGCTGGGGGCTTTCTGGAGGTGGTGGTGTGTCAGCGGAGCCCCAGAGGATGAGGAGGAGCTAGCCAGGACAAGAGGTAGGCGGAGGGATCACGCTATGCAAGGGCGAGCGTGGAAGGGGAGCACAGTGCATTCTGGGAACAGCCCGTGGTCCCGCTGGCACGGTGCATTCTGGGAACAGCCGGTTGTCACGCTAGCACGGTGCATTCTGGGAACAGCCGGTGGTCATGATGGTGCGAGAGGAAGTTTGAAAAAAAATAAGGAACTTGGTGATGAAGCTGTGGATGTGGGTGGTGTCCACACCTCGCACGGCCTTAAGTACTGGGCTCAGGAACTGTGGCTTTGTCCTGAGGGCATTAGGGAGCCATAGGGGAAGAGCAGAGTCAGTGCTGGGCACAGACAGACCCCTCTGGGACCTTATGGGATTTTCTGGAGAGAGTCCAGGCAGGACACCATGAGGCCAGCCTACGGGGATGGAGAGGAGGCTAGTGGGTAGAGAGAGGTGAGCGGAGGTCAACTGTAGGTAAGCAGAGGAAGGAGTTGGTGAGGACAGCGTCCAGGGGTCTGGCGTGGTGACTGGGTGGATGGTGGGACCATGAGAGGAAGTGCGAAGAGGAGTGGGTTTGAAGGAGACACCCGAGTTTACCTTGAGAGGCCTGGGGCAGCATCGGGGATGGGGAAAAACCAACCAGCCAACTCATGGTGACTCCCTGTGTGACAGCATAGAACTGTGCTCTGTAGGGTTTTCAATGGCTGATTTTTTTGGAAGTAGACAGCCTCTGGGTGGACTTGAACCATCAAACTGTGGGTCAGCAGTCGAGCTGACTGCGGAGGCAGGGATCAGCCTCCCAAAGGGATTGCCGTGGCCCCAGAGGTTCATGGGAGAAGTGCTCAGGCCACTCCAGCGCTGGCCTGGAGCCCAGGGGCTCATGGGAAATGTAGTTTGAGTTCCAGGGGCAGGCCTGCCAAGCATGATCATACACAGGTCTGAGCTCCCCTTATTCTGACGAAGAAGCTGAGGCTCAGAGGGGGTGAGTGACCTACTCAAGGTCACCCTGAGATCGAGGAGTGGCCAGATGATCGTAGCTGAAGTAGCTCTCTGCCGAATCTCTTTCTATGGCGCAGGGACTCTTGCTTCCCCCAGCCGTTGCTGAGAGCTCAGCACAGGCCCAGGCTGCCTTGGCACTCCGCGTACAGTTGGAGCTGCTGAGCACTGCTCATCTCCGGGGTGAAAGTGAAAGATGAGACAGTCAACTTCTGTAAAGATTGACAGCCTTGGAGACCCTGTGGGCAGTTCCACTCTGTCCTCTAGGGGCGCTGTGAGTCAGAATCAACTCCAGGCAGTGGGTTTGGTTTGGGCTTTGCTTCTGTGAAGATTGACAGCCTTGGAGACCCTGTGGGGCAGTTCCACTCTGTCCTCTAGGGGCGCTGTGGGTCAGAATGGACTCCATGGCAGTGGGTGTGGTTTGGGCTTTGCTTCTGTAAAGATTGATAGCCTTGGAGACCCTGTGGTGCACTTCCACTCTGTCCTCTAGGGGCGCTGTGAGTCGGAATCAACTCTAAGGCAGTGGGTTTGGTGTTTGGTTTGTATGAGGAGCTCTGGGGGTATAGTGCCTAAGGCATTTGACTGCTAACCAGAAGGCTAGTGGTTCAAACCCACCAGCCACTCCTCAGAAGGTATACTGGGTGATCTACTTCTGTAGAGATACTGCCTTGGAAACCCAAGGAGGGGTTGACTGCAGTGAATTAGTGAATTTAGTGTTTTTTGGAGGGAACTCACTCAAACTCACCAAACCCCCCCGTCATCAAATTGATTCCGACTTACAGCGCCCTAAGAGGACAGAGTGGAACTGCCCTACAGGGTTTCCCAGGCCTAAGGCATTTGACTGCTAACCAGAAGGCTGGAGGTTCAAACCTCCTCAGAAGGAAGACTGAGCAATCTACGTCCATAGAGATACCGCCTGGAAAACCTAAGGAGGGGTCGCTGTGAGTCAGGATAGACTTGACAGCTGTGAGTTTTTTAGTTCAACATGGGGTAAGACAAGACCAGGGCGGAGGGAAGGTGACGGTGGGGCAGGATGAGGCCTGAGCTGTGGGGCGATTTCAAAAGCACAAATGAGAACTCTGAGACAGTGCGTGGGGAGCCAGGGGCTCGTGGAGAAGGGAATCTGGGTCGTCAGTTCGAGTCCTGGAGGGGGTCTCTGGGGGCTGGAGATGAAGTCGAGGTGAGCATAACCTCTAAGTGCAGATGGGGAAGCCGGCTCACAGGACACAGGGGGCTTATCAAGGTCACAGGGAGCAAGAGTGGAGGGAGACCTGGTCGCAGGTGGGAAGGGCGGCGCCCACCTTGGTCTCCTCCACCTCCGCGCAGGTACCCGGCTCTGCCCCGGCCCCTCACCCAGCAGACCCTGACTCCGCAGCCGGACCCCGGCAGTGAGGAGCGCCCGCCCGCCCTTCCCTTACCCCTCCCCGGCGGCGAGGAGAAGGCCAAGCTCATCGGCCAGATCAAGCCCGAGCTGTACCAGGGCGCCG